CGCGTTGAGCTTGGCGTAGAGCACGTCGTCCAGGTCCCAGGCCAGCAGGCGCCGCAGGAGCACGAGGGACTCGTCGAAGTACTCGGCGATCATGACCAGCGAGAAGACCTCCTCCACCTGGCGGATGAGGCCCGCCAGGTAGGCGGCGTCCTCGCGTGGGCTGCGCTCGTTGTCGCCTCCCAGGTCGTAGGCCAGCGTGTTGTGCGCGAACATGGCGAAGTGCTCGCCGGGGCGGTAGTAGGCCTCGGGGGCGCGCAGGAACGCCTCGAGCGACGCGTTGGGCACGCGCCGGAAGGCCGGGCAGTACTGGTTGTAGTAGCTGAAGAGCGACTCGAACATGGCGGCCGGCTCGCGCAGGATGGTGACGTAGACCGTGCCCGGCGGCATGAGGCGCTCGAGCTCGGCGCGGTCGAAGCGCAGGTGGCTGGCCAGCATGTGCGGGGGCCGCGTGGCCGGGTGCACGAAGTGCGCCGAGAAGTTCCGCGGGTAGCAGAACTGGTGCTCGCAGCTGGGGTGAGGCAGGGCCACGGTGAGATTGTGGCGCTCTGCGAAGCGGAACAGGATGTTCTGCACCGTGGTCCCCGCTGTCTTGTGAGTCTTCAGGAAGGCCACGGCCGTGTGCTTGGCCCGGGGGGGCGACTCTCGCAGCGGCGGGCAGCTCAGAGGAAACAACTTGGGGTACCTGCAAAGCCCAGGGTGTGTGAGAGGAGAGAATGCAGGGGAGCGGTGAGTTTGGGGGACACGTGTGACCAGTGTGCAAGAGTAGACCGGCCTGGGCTTTATCGTGTGATAGGAGAGATCGGGTGGCAGGGCCTCTAAAATGAGCCCCAGAGGGCTTGGTAGCCTTGAAGATAAACCCTACGGCTGGGCAGTGGTGGCGCACGCCTTTAATCCCAGCACTCGGGAGGCAGAGACAGGTGGATCTCTGTGAGTTTGAGGCCAGCCTGGGCTATAGAGAGAGTTCCAGGATAAGGCACCAAAACTACACAGAGAAACTCTCTCAAAAACCAAAAAGAAAAAAGAAAATATAAACCCTATGAACTCTTGCTGCGCCTTCAAGAGGAACCGGATTCCATTCCCGCATTTGTAACTCCAATCCCACAGGCCCTCTTCTGGCCTTAGATGGCACTGCATGCAAAATTGCCCATACACAAATGAGGGTACTGGGGGTGTGTGTGATGTGGTGGGGAGGAGGTAGTAACCCGGGGAATGTGGTGGTACACACAGGCCTTTAATCTCAGCACTCGGGAGGCAAAGCTAGGTGGGTCAAGCAAGGTGAGTTCTTGGGCAGCCAAAGTTACACACTGAAACTGTTTTTAAAAAAAAAGTAAAAAAAAAAAGGGGGAGGGGGAAGCAGTGGTGGCACACACTTTTAATCCCAGCACTCAGGAGGCAGAGGCAGGCGATCTCTGTGTGAGTTCAAGGCCAGCCTGGTCTACAAAGGGAGTGCCAGGGCAGCTAGGTCTGTTACACTGAGAAACCCTGCCTGGAAAAACCAAAAAGTAAAACAAAACAAAAAACTAAAAATAAAAAGGAAAAAAAAAAAGATGAATACCCATGCTGACCCTCCTGATAGTGGCACCCTTATATGTATTCTCTTCCACTGAGCGGGGCTAGACTTAACTGATGTAGTGTATGCAATAGAATAGGGTAGAAATGATGAAGTATCATCTCTAAATTATTTCATTTTTGGTTTGTCAAGACAGGGTTTCTCTGTGTCGACTTGGCTGTGCTGGAACTCTGCAGGCCAGACTGGCCTCTAACTCAGAGATCCACCTCACTTTGCCTCTGGAGTGTTGGGATTAAAGGCCTGTGCCACCACTACCCAGCCACCTGTTAATTTATAGCAGGGAAAGGTCAATGGTTTTTCTCTCACTGTCTCCAGGATTGATTGATTATTTATTTGTTTGTTTATTTTTGGGTTTTTGAGACAGGGTTTCTTTGTGTAGTCCTGGCTGCCCTGGAACTTGCTCTGTAGCTCAGAGATCCGCCTGCCTCTGCCTCTCGAGTGCTGGGATTAAAGGCCTGTGCCGCTACCACCACCACTACCACCACCACCACCACCAGGTTAATTTTTTTTGTTTGTTTTTCTTTCTTTCTTTCTTTTTCTTTTTCTTTTTCTTTTTTGTTTTTGTTTTTGTTTTTGTTTTTGAGACAGGGTTTCTTTGTGTAGTTTTGGTGCCTTTCCTGGAACTCTCTCTGTAGCCCAGGCTGGCCTTGAACTCACACAGAGATCCACCTGGTTCTGCCTCCCCAGTGCTGGGATTAAAGGTGTGCACCATCACCACCTGGCCTATTTTTTTGGTTTTTCAAGACAGGGTTTTTCTGTGTGTAGCCCTGGCTGTCCTTGAACTTGCTCTGTAGACCGAGCTGACTTTGAACTTAGAGAGATCTGCCTGCCTCTGCTTCCATGTGCTGGAAGTAAAGCATCACCGCCACCGGCCAAGATAATTTAAATTAGAAGGAGGCAGGCAGACTGCGGTCAGTCAGCCAGAAACCACACAATGACAGCCCCAAGAAACGAGAACCGAGCCCATCAGCCGCTTGAAGAACTAAGTCTGCCAGGCTCCTTGAGTGGACTCTTTCAGACCCTTCAGTCAGTCCTTAGCAGAGACTGTAGGTCTGTAAGACACCGAGACTAAAAACCTACACAAGACCTGGAGTCAGGAGTTCTTAGCCACATTTGGATTCATGACTCATAGAAATGGAAAGAGAATAAATGTTTTTTGATTTCAGTAGCTGTTTTGAGGATTTTGTTTTTTTTTTTAAATTTTTATGACTTAATTTATTCCATGTGTGTACATGTGCTAGTACACATGTGCCATGGTGTGCATGTGGAGCTCAGGACAATTTTTTGGAATTTGTTCTTTCTGCCTTGTTGAGGCTAAGACTTTGTTTTTCTGTCTCTGTGCTGAGTAGAGCAGGCTAGTTGGACTGTGCCCTTCTGGCTGATTCTCCTGTCTCCATCTCCCATTTCTCCTTTAGAATTCCAGAATTCGAAGCTGGAGAGATGGCTCAGCAGTTAGGAGCACTGGCTGCTCTTCCAGAGGACCCAGGTTCAATTCCCAGCACCCACATGGCAGCTCACAACTGTCTGTAACTCCAGTTCTAAGGCTTCTGACACCTTCATACAGATATACATGTAGGCAAAACATCAATGAACATAAAAAAATTATATATTAAAGAGTCCTGGGATTAGCCAGGCAGTGGTGGTGCATGCTTTAATCCCACTCTCGATCTTGGGGAGTTAGAGGCCATCCTGGTATACACAGTGAGTTCCAGGACAGCTACATAGAGATACCTTGTTTTAAAAAGAAAGGAAAAAAAAAAAAAAAAGAGTGCTGGGATTGAAGATGTGAGTCATCACATGTGGCCTTTCATTGGGATCTGTGGCTGGAACTCCAGTCGTCAAGCTTGCTCGGAAAACACTTGTCCTGATGCGCCAGCTCCATTTTTTTTTTTTTTTTTTTTTTTTTTTTTTTTTTTTTTTAAGAAGAGTTAGTATGTAGCCCAGGCAGGCCTTCAGTGGCTGTGTTGCTCAGTCTGCTTTTGAATTTGTGATCCTCCTGTCTTGGCCTTCTGAGTGCTGGAATTACAGGCGTGAGGCACCAACACCTGGCTTCTCTGCTAAGTTTTTTTTTTTTTTTTTTTTTTTTTTTAAGATTTATGTATTGTGCATTCAGTTTGCTTGCATGTCAGAAGAGCCCATTATAGATGGTTGTGAGCCACCATGTGGTTGTTGGGAATTGAACCCAGGTCCTCTGGAAGAGCAGTCAGTGCTCTTAACCTCTGAGCCATCTCTCCAGCCCTCTCTGCTAAGTTTTAAGGTTAAAAAAATTGTTTTGAGACAGAGTCTCATCTCACTATGTAGCCTGGCTATATGGAACTTGCTGTATAGACCGGGCTGGCCTGGAACTCACAGAGAGCTGCCTGCCTCTGCCTCCCTAGTGCTGGGATCAAAGATGTACATCAGCATGCCTGGTTCTATCTAAAGTCATTGTTTTCTGAGACAGGGTTTATCTGTGTGTCTGTGTAACCCTGGCTGTCCTGGAACTTGCTCTGTAGACCAGGCTGGCCTTGAACTCACAGAGATCTGCCTGCCTCTAGCTCCCAAGTGCTGGAATTAAAATTGTGCACCACCACCACCCAGCCTAAGGTAAATTTTAAATGTAGAAATAGTGTCAAGGCCAACAGCCCTTGGAGATCTTTGAGGGATCTTACTTTAAATGTATAGAAATTGAGGACCTGAAGAGAATCTGGAGCCAACTCTAAGTCACCAAATCTTGTTCTGTCTTCTTTCTCATTTCTTTAACTCGTTCATCACTGTGGGGGGAGGTTAACATCAAACTTTGCAGCAATGCATTGGTCGTTCTTGTTGCATGTTTCTATTAAGGTCTTTGGAGAGCCACTTATTTATGTGTGCATTTCTTGAGCTTCTGCTTTGTACTAGGCATCATTCTAAACTTAAGTATAGCCCTTATGGCATTTTCATTTCTGTTCCTACATCCTGAAGCAAGGATGTTTGGAATTACTAGCTACCTATCAGATGTGGACAGGCTTGGAATCACTTCTGATTCTTCTGTACTGTCCTAAGCATCAAGTGACAAGGGCAGTTCTAAACAGCTTGAGAACGCCATGGGGAATTCCTACCTGTAGCTAGTTTGGGCTCAGGATAATGTCTATATAGACATCATCTATAAAACCAGAAAATCACCCTGGCGGTGGTGGCACTTGCCTTTAATCTCAGCACTTGGGAGGCAGAGGTAGGTGGATCTCTGTGAGTTCCAGGCCAGCCTGGGCTACAGAGTGAGTTCCAGGAAAGGTGCAAAGCTACACAGAGAAACCCTGTCTTGAAAAAAAAAACAAAAACAAAAACAAAACAACAACCAAAACCAAAACAAAAAATAGAAAATCCTTTGGCAAGTGACACTGGGTCTATTTTTATACTATTCTCAGGAAACTATGTGGAATATGGGAGAAATTGACACCTTGAAAGGTGCAGGGATTTGGTGGGTTCACACAGGGAATCAGGAATAGAGACCAATTCTCATTGCATGGTGCCCTCTATCAAGATGACCAGAGGGTCACACACTTTATAGGTGAGGACATGTTCTCAGAAATAAATAACTGTGTCCCAACCAATGGACTAGTAAGTTGTTTGCAGGATTTAGGATTTAGCTCAGTTGGTAAAATACTTGCCTAGCATTCTTGAGACCATGGGTCTGATCTCCAGCACTTCCCAACTTGGTGTCTAGGTGTGGTGGTATATACCTGTAATCCCAGCACCCAGGAGAGGTAGGAGGATCAGGAGCTCAAGGACAGGTAGGGTAGTGTCATACGCCTTTAATCCCAGCACTAGAGAGGCAGAGGCAGGCCAATCAATCTCTGTGAGTTTGAGACCATCCCAGTCTAAATAGTGAGTTTCAGGAGGAGATTTTTGGTTGCAAAAGAGAGCTTTAAAAAAGGCTACAAAGACCGGGCGGTGATAGTGCACACCTTTAATCCCAGCACTTGGGAGGCAGAGCCAGGCGGCTCTCTGTGAGTTTGAGGCCAGCCTGATCTACAGAGTGAGATCCAGTACAGGCACCAAAACTACACAGAGAAACCCTGTCTCAAAAAACAAAAAAAGGCTACGAAGTGAGACCCTGTCTCAGAAGAACAAAGCAACACAAATTGTTTCCAACCCCCTTTAAGGAAGCATTCAGCTATAACACTGTAGGAAAGACAGGCTAGGTTCAAATCTTGGCTAACTAACTCCGTGACTGAGCAATTCAGAGTCCAGTCCTTGCCTGTCTGGCGCTAGAGCAGTGGTTCTCAATCTGGGGGTCGAATGACTTTCACAGGTGTCGCTTAAGACCATTGGAAAACACAGATAGTTGCATTATGATTCATAACTAGCAAAATTACAGTTACAAAGTAGCAACAATAATTTTATAGTTGGAGGTCACCACAACATGAGGGACTGTATTAAAGGGTCGCAGAATTAGGAAGATTGAGAATCACTGCTCTAGAGGGTAAGTATAGAAAGTACTTTTAGATTACAGGAAGAGAGGGTAGCCCAGAGAAGCCTTTTGGTTGCTCTGGACTACAGTATCTCCTACTGGGCCATACCCCCACACTGAAGTCTTCCCACTTACCAACTGAGCTGCGACCCCTGGTGGATGAGGAGGCTTATAGTGCTGCACCCTAGCACCAATAGCAGGATTTTCCTGCGGCTCATCATTGTGGTGGACTGCTGCAGGCGCTGGAGGATGGGTGGCATGGTGGAGTACTCACTCCTGGACCAGCCAGGGCTTCACTATCCAGGACTTCCTTTGCCAGCACTCATGGGGGGTCCTGGGGTTCTGGTAGCAGGGCCAGTGTTCCCAAAAACCTGGCAGAACAAGGAAACAGACAGGTTTGCAGTGGGCAGAGGAGCTACTCCAGGCTTAGTAGGACTTTGGCAAAAGAGAGCTTAAATGAGTGGAGTGAACAGAGATGCCAGGGTAGATTGAATTCCACCTCCTATCACCAAGACCCTATCTCCTCACTGTCCAGATAAACCAGTGTTGGGTGGAATTACAGGTCTGGGACGTGTCCAGCACTCAAAACTAAAGCCATTCTGTCTCTTGAGTCCTGCGTGTTTACCTCTCTGACTGTATCTAACTTGTCTTTGTTCCACAGCCATTTGAATCCAGCTCTGCATCAGTCTGCCATCAGCAATAGCGTGTGGCTCAGGACACAAGTCTCAGTCCAAAGATTTTCCCTCTTCCAGGACTCCTTATCTGACTCTTTGAGCCAAGGGGTGGTCCCGAGTCCCCTGAGAATAAACTCCTCAGAAACAGCCAAGCCCTCACCTCCTTCAGTTGGATTGGTACTGCAGGCCTTCTCTGTTATTTTATTTATTTTTTGGTTTTCTTGAGACAGGGTTTCTCTGAGTAGCTTTGGAGCCTTTCCTAGAACTCACTCTGTAGCCCAGGCTGGCCTTGAACTCACAGAGTGCTGGGATTAAAGGTATGTGCCACCACCGCCCCAGCTTACCCTTCTATATTATTACTAACTCCTAATACCACAGGTATTTCCTATTAAGCAGATGATGAAAATGGGGTGCTAAGTGGTGATGGTCAATTGTTCATAGTCACCCAGCTAGTTATAGAAGTCTGGAAACTCAAATCTACGCTTATTAAAAAAAAATTTTTTTTTTCAGATAGACAGGTCTTACTGTAATAGTCCTGGCTGGCCTGAAACTTGTTATGTAGTTCAGTATGGCCTCAAACTCAGAGATCCAGCTGCCTCTGCTGCCTGAATGCTGAGATTAAAGGTGTGCGGCCCCAAATCTAGCCAGATCTACTCTTCTGTCTCCAAAGTCCTTGTTCTTAGAGTTTATGTGAACTGTTCCCATTCAAAACTGATTTTTTTTTTCAAGCTAGAGGGATATCTTAATGGTTAGGCGCTCTTCCAGAGAATCTAGGTTTGATTCTCAGTACCCACATGGTAGCTCACAACTTTCTGTAACTCCGATTCCAGGAGATATACATGTAGGCAAAACACTCATACACATAAAATAAAAAATAATTTAAGAAAACCGTATTTTTTCATCCCTGTCTGGTCTTGTAGTTCTGCATGCTTCTGAGCCCTGAGCCCTCCTGTTTGTGTCGCTGCCTGGGACTAAATCCACCAGGGGAAGGAGGACTTGGAGCCCTGTCTGGATTCAATCCCCAGACACCCAGAAAGGTGGCTCCATTGGCTGACTGGTGCAGGTGCTTAGCCAAGGCAATGGGACAGCAGCCAGGGTGGGGTGGGGCAGAGGTGGGAGGGTAAAGACGTCTCCAACTTCTCTGCTGAGACTTTCCAGAAGGAGATGAGCCTTCATTTTAGGGAAGAAGAGGGAGAGAGAAGGGCTTGATTTCTCTCCAGGCTTTCTTTCTCTGCAAGAATGTTGGCAGTTCAGGTGGAAAATAGCTTCTGCAGCCATGCCTGCCCCCAAGCTAGGGTGGGTCTGTCTTACTCCTGGGGTGTATGTGTGGGTTCAGACTCAGCATCAGCCCTCACACTACTCTGTGAAGGGGAGGAGGGTTTGCAACCTTAGGAGAATATGCATGGACATGGAACTAGGACACCTGGTCCCAGGAGGGATGAGGTAACTCGGTGGTTCTGGGCTTGGCTTACAGTTTCTTTCTTTCTTTCTTTCCTTTCCTTTTTTTTTTTTTTTTTTTTTTTTTTGTGCCCCTTTCCTGTTAATCCCAGATTACCCTTAAATCCATTTAGGTGGAAAGATGTCCTGTTTACAATTCTCCTTATCTCCAGGCCCCATCTTCTGATTTCCTCCACCAGCCTGTGAGACAGTAATCATCTTGGAGCCGAGAGAGCCAAGGGTCTGGCCACAGAGGGCAACCAAGGGCACAGCAGAGGCCGCCTAGGTCTTCCCTAACTTGTGGGAGGCAGAGCAGAGTTGCTCTCTAGTAGGAGGAAGTCAAATTCTTGGCCTTTTGAGGACTCAAAAGTTTCTCTCTGTCACAAGTCCTGCTTGGAGAACTTGGTGAACAGATGGTTTCCCAAGAGATAATTAGAGGGCAAGTCTATTTCTACCTCCCTTAAACATGCTGAAACCATCCCATTTCTCAGAGGAATCTGAGCCAGCCAAGGAGGCCAAATGTAAGGTGAGCTACAATGGATCTTTTCCTGTCATAGAGAATGAGGGTGCTGTCTGGTACTACCCATTCTAACAGGACTTTATCCACTGCCTACAAGGCTTGGATCTGGGGAGCCAGCCAGATTGCTAAGGTTTGAAGGGGGGACAGGCCTTCATCAATATAGGAATTCCCTAGACACCAGTTCCCAGGAACGGGAATACCAGGAATTTTGGTCACTGGCAATGATAATCACTTTCAGATACAGCCTAGATCATTCTAGCCCACAATCCCAAGGACCTTTCTGGGACTGTAAGAACTAGTCACCCTGCCTTGTGACATCCTCCTAGGCTTGACTTGTCCTTTCATCTCGTATTCTGGATTGTAGCTAGTTCCACTCTTCAGAGCACAAGGCAGATTTTTTTCTTCATGACAGACATTCAGGTATTTGAAAGCAAGAACCCTGTATCCTGTATGTGAGCACTTAGCCAGAGAAACCATTGCAGGTCCAGATAGATAGTAGTGCTTGGGTACTAGGCAGGCAAGCCTGCCTTCCCTGGGTCAGGTCATTTCTGCTGTTGAGAAGGACTCAGCAGTGAGGGCCTGGAGGAGTTCCCTGGGCTGAAGCAAATTGGTGGCCATGCTGCTGGTGCATGGCTTTGGAGGGATGGCCCTGGCTGCTGCCCAGGGAGGCTTCACCTACTGTATCTCTAGTGTCTTTTCTAAGGAGAGAAAGAGGTCCCCTCACCATCCCCAGCAGGTCAGGGTGCCAGCCTTATCAGAATAGCAGTGCTAATTTTAGTCAGAACAATCTACCTCAGGCTGCTGCCCAGATTTGTAAATTGCTTTCTTTTCTCTGGGGAACCAAAGAAGAAATGGTATCACCATCCAGTGCTTTGAAAACTAGCCCAGATGTCCACCCTTTTCCCAGATGATCTCTTTCTCATCTCCCCTCAGAGCTCCAGGGCTGATGCTGATGTCTGGAGGAGTGGTTCCGAGGCCTGGACCACTGGGAGCTGTCCTCCCAGTGATGTGGAGTCTTAACCTGACTTGGGGCATGGCGTAGCCCAGGTCACACGGGTCCCCAAGAGAAAAAGGCCGAGAGGGTAGCACAATAGGGCTTAAGAGATTGAATATCTTTCCATCTCTTCTTCCCCTGCACCAGGCTTCCCCAGTCCTCTCTCTGTCATCCACCCCCGCTTTTATCCATGCCTCTGAATTCTCTTCATTCTCCTTTCTCCATCACTACCCACTCCCACCCCCACCGCGCCCCACATTCCCTTAATTTCCTCCCGATCTCTCCTAGAGATCTGGTCACTCTAGGGAACAGGCCAGATTCACCCACTTCCCCGCTTCCCGGGGTTACCGTGCCACCCCCTCCAGCTCTCCTGGCACCAGGCCCCCAAGACTCTTGCAACTGCCCAGGCTCCCTTTCCTTTTGCAGTGCACCCTTGTTTCCTCCGGCTCCCGGCTGGCTACTGCAGTACTTACGCAGGCAGGCTCTGTCTCCAACTTGGGTCAGGGGCTACCTTCCGCTTCCCCTGGGCCCCTTGTCCTGAAATCTGCCGGGTCTGAAGGTAACGGGCCCTACACGCTCGTGCGGGTAGCTTGCCTTGCTGCGCCTGGATGGGATCAGGTGGCAGCGTCTGTGTCTGTCCGCTCAGCTCAGCTCAGCTCTGCCCGCCCGCCCGTCCCCCATCTCACACCGGGGGCGGGGCGGGGGCGGGGGCCTGGCTGCTCAGGGGAGGGGGAAAAGGAGACGCAGCAAGGGGAGGGGGACCCTGAAGCATGCCTGCTGCTGCTGAGCACTTTCCGGTGATACTGGCATCTTTGGATGCAGGCATCTTCCCCTTGCAATCTTGTAGAGAGAGCTCAACACCATTGTGCTCAACACACTTTTCTCCATCAGAAGTGAAAACCGAGGCTGGGAAGGTGTCAGTAAACTTGAACATTACAGCATTACTGAGTCCCATTGGTCTCTGGAACTTATTGAGGTTGGGTTGGTTAGAGGTTCAGGTACACTTGTCCTCTCCTTTATTTCCTCTCTCTTCCCCTCTACTTCCCACCTCTACTAGCCCTGTCTGGTCCTCTTCCCTTCTAGCTTGTCCTTCAGCTCTCCTGAGGCAGCTCCTAGTAGTTCACCCATGCCTTGCTAGGACTCCAGAGGTCTCACTTCTGACTAGAGCCAGGTCTGGGGTCTCTCTGCCCAGGCACCTTGCACCAGGAACCCAAACCCCAGTTTGTTTCTGGTTTCTTCTGTTACTTCATCCTGGAGTCAGGAGCAACTTCCTGAGCCCTGTTTCTTCCAGCACGGCAGTGGGCAGCTATTTGCTTGTAGCAGCTCTGTTTGAGAGAGAGCTCCTGGTGGATGTCTAGCAGCAGTACCTCCCAAAGCCACATTCGATGCCATGAGCCCACAGTTGGTTCTGGGGCTGGCATGGGCTGTCCCCTTCATTCTGGGCAAGGAAAGGATCTTCAAATAGGGTAGCCACCCAACACTGGAACTGAAAGGGACTGCACTGGTCCCTTCTGGTCTCATACAGCCAATAAGTGGGCATCTTGTAAGGATCCTTGCCAAGGAGAAGGGAAGGACTTCAGAGCCAGGGAATCTTGGACATGTCAGATTCTGTTTTCTCTCAGTCTTTACCTTTGCAGTTTGGTATCCTATCTGCATACCAAGACCACTGTGAAAAAATCAGATCCTGCTTAGTGTGTCCTTTTCTGGCCCTCGTTATATTACTGATCCACCTGCTCTGTTGATCTTACCTTAAAGACACTGCCCTCCCTCTCTGTCTGAGCACATTGGGGCCTCCAGCCTCAGATGACCTACTCCAGGCTCTCTAGTTACAGGAAGCAGAAGAGACTTCCTTTGGGCTGCAAATGGTCTGCCTGAGTGGACTGACAAGCATAAGGAAAGGCCACCACTGTTCTTGATGGGAATCAAAAGGGGAAGGGTCAAAGCTTGGATGTGGATGAAGAGAAAGAGAACCAGTCCGTCTGTCCCCCCACCCCATCCTGTACTTTGTTTTGTCTCTCTCAAACCTCACCTCTCCTGTGTCTTGTGTGCTGTTCCCCCCCCCCCCACCTCCCTTTCCAGTTCTCCTTTATGGACAGCTGGTGAAATGGAGGTGGCTAGGAAGAGAAAAGATCTGAAGCATGTGGGTGGGAAATGAGACCATTTGTGTTCCTCTGCCTTATTCATCACACAAACAAACAGGCTGTTATTGAGAGGGGCAGAACTAGTGGGAGAAGTGTGGAGACAAAATGAATTGGTGGATGTTGGGCAGGCAGGGGTCATGGTGTCTCGCCCTAAGAAAGGTCCTGAGTGGTTTGGGCTTTTTTTGTTTTGTTTTCCTACAAGAAGATAAAACCCATGGTTAGATTCCCCCCACCCCACCCCCATAATAATTTATTAGGTGCCTCCTGGATGATAGATAGAAAAAGATCACCGGATGGTGGTGGCAGCGGTGGCGGCAGCGCTGCCGCCGCATGCCTTTAATCCCAGCACTCGGGAGGCAGAGGCAGGCGGATCTCTGTGAGTTCGAGGCCAGCCTGGGCTACAGAGTAAGTTCCAGGAAAGGCACAAAGTAACACAGAGAAACCCTGTGTTGAAAAACAAACAAAACAACAACAAAAATCAAGTTCTTGCTCCTGTTTGGGGAATGGTGGTAGGAATAAAGGGTAGAAAAGTCTTTAAAATGAAACAGGGCAATAGATTGGCTCACACTTGTAATACCAGCTTTCAGGAAGCTGAGGCAGGAGGCTTGCCAAAAGCTAGAGGTTAGCTTGGGCTAGAGTTTGCTCCCAGACAGTCGGACCTACAATAATGAGTCTTGATCTCAAATACTAGATCTACATGAAGCAGGGCATGGTAGTGCACATCTGTAATTCTCAAAGGATCAGGAGTTCGAGGCTAGCCTGGGCCACACGGTGACACACTGTCTTAACAACAACGAAAACCTTGGGGCTGGAGAGATGGCGTTAAGAGCACTTGTTGCTTTTGCGGAGCACTGGGGTTCGATTCACAACCGTCTGTAACTAGTTCCAGGAGATCTGACACTCTTCTGGCCTCCACAGACAGCAAGCATGTAAGTGGTGCACATTTCGTTTTGAAAACGAAAGGTGGAAAATTGAATGTGGTATGAAAGCTCCTAGAAAGGGAAGGAAACATTTGGCAGAGAAGGCATTTATTTGAGCCTTTCTCGAATGTGGAAAAGGGAATTTTAGTATCGCCCTTCCCCCAGGTCAGCAGCTGGAACTCAGCCCGGCGGGTCCGTTCTTCTACGGGCTCCGATCCCCTTTCAGGCCATTCAAGCACGCCTGGGAAGGGGTGAGCAGGCAAACAATCGGACACTGTTTTATCAAAGGCATCGGCTCCAACCTCCCACTTGGCGGGCGCCGGAGAGCAGTCTCTAGGAGCTCCTAGGGGAAATAAGCATCCAGATACCTCATCAATGAGGGTGTCGGGCCAGAAGACTTAATATGCATTTGGGCAGGTAAGAAGCAGAAAGCACTCGCTTTGTAGAGGGCCGGCTCTTCCCGCGGCCTTAACATCAGATCTACCACTGGGTTGTTACAACAAGCGTTCAACCTCTAGGCGGTGCAGCCGCAGACTACAACTCCCAGAAGGCTTTGCAGCCTTTGTAAGTGGCGAATCCTATCTCCCAGCGAAGGGCGGGAGGGGGTGTGTCTCGATCAAGTGCTTTCCAATCACTGCGGGATATGGCGGACTGCGTTGCCGGAAGTTCCCGGAAGTAGGCCCCGGTGGCTGATTCGAGCTTCCGTGTTGGTCGCGCGCCTTCTTGTGGCTAAGATGGCGGCGGAGCATCCCGAACCTCCCAAAGGAGAATTGCAGTTGCCGCCGCCGCCACCTCCAGGCCACTATGGCGCCTGGGCTGCCCAGGAGCTTCAGGCCAAATTGGCGGAAATAGGAGCTCCGATCCAAGGTGAGGCTCGTGGGCCGGTCAAGGGGGGCTGCGTGGGCTTGTGGAGAAGTGGAGCCTGGTTACCCAGGAGACCCACGGGCAGGGGGCGGAGACAGGCCGCCGGGGCCCGACCTGGCCGAGGGGTCTCCTCCGGCTGGTGCTGACCTCCCGGTTCTGTTCCCTGTCCCACAGGGAGTCGCGAGGAGCTGGTTGAGCGGCTGCAGACCTACACCCGCCAGGTGAGTGTTGTGGCAGGAGTTCAGGGTAGGTCTAACTTTTACTAGAGGCCTTTAAGACGCCACACGGATGGGTCTGCGTTTCTTTTTCTTTTTCTTTTCTCTCTCTCTCTCTTTTTTTTTAGTTTTTCGAGACAGGTTTTTTTTTTTTTTTTTTTTTTCTCGTAGCCCTGGCTGTCCTAGAACTCACTCTATAACCAGGGTGGCCTTGAACTCAGAGACCAGCCTGCCTCTGCCACCGGAGTGCCCTCGGATTAAAGGTGTGCGCCTCCGCGCTCGGCTGAGTTTTTGTGTACTTCATCGCAGCAAGCCGGGTCTTGACCGTTTTATCCGCTTTTGCCTTGCTATATTATAATCGCTGCTACCCCTTTTGCTTCTCTCGGGTTCCAGCCCCAATCTCTGGCAAATGGGCGTTGGGTAAATTCTGTTAAGTAAATAAATAAATGGGAAAGGAGGTCGTGTAATGGAATAGTTCCTCTTAGTCTGACATAGAGTTCTCTTTTCTTCTGTAGACTGGCATCGTGCTGAACCGACCAGTTTTAAGAGGAGAAGATGGAGACAAAGCCGCTCCTCCTCCTATGTCAGCGCAGGTAAGAGATTGTTTATTGGCCCTTTCTGCCCAGGGACGCCTTTCTCCTGTGTGTTGTATTGCAGATACAGTTGGCAGATGTTATAGTGAATTAAGGGTGGGGTCTAATGAGACAAAATTGGATGCCGATACTGCTTCAGTCCCCAATATCTGCTCTGTGACTTATCATTCAAGATTCAACTTGAATACCTAGAATTCTTACTTGATTTTCAGTTGGATCTAGTCTTTTACTTTCTTATCAGGCATAGTTCCCAAAGTTACTCCTTGAGACATGAAGGGATAATGCTCTGATTTTATTATATACCTCTGCATTTAGTAACTCATTGGCATCTGTGTCCTGGAACATTGGTTTCTATGTCTTTATTGTTTTTGTAGTTTCCGCTCCCCCCTCCCCCCCCAAAAAAAAACAAAACAGAATTTCTCTGTGTAGCTTTGGATCCTCTCCTGGATCTCTCTCTGTAGACCAGGCTGGCCTCGAACTCACAGAGATCCTCCTGGCTCTGCCTCGGTGGGCGGTAGTGGCGCTCACTCAGGAGGCAGAGCCAGGAGGATCTCTGTGAGTCCCACCGGTTTCTTTGTCTTTAAAAAAATTATTTATAGCTGGGCGGTCGTGGTGCATGCCTTTAATCCCAGCACTCGGGAGACAGAGGCAGGGGGATCTCTGTGAGTTCGAGGCCAGCCTGGGCTACCAAGTGAGTTCCAGGAAAGGCGCAAAGCTACACAGAGAAACCCTGTCTGGAAAAACCAAAAAAAAAAAAAAAATTATTTATAGCCAAGTGGTGCACTTGGAGGCAGAGGCTGGTGGATCTCTTTGAGGCCAGGACTACACAGAGAAACCCTGTCTCAGAAAGGGAAAAAAAAAAAAAAATACACACACACAAACACACATATATGTATATATACATACATACATATATATATTTATGTGTATGAGTGTTTTGCCTATGTGCATGTCTGATGTCTGTGCACATGTGCATGAAAGTGTCACAGGAGGCCATAAGAGGGGGTTAAACCACCCTGTGGCTAGAGTTACAGATTAAAGCGTGTGCCACCACCAGCATAGAAGAGCAGTTCTTAACTGTTGGTCTGTCTCTCCAACCCTGGTTCCCATTTCTTTATGTGCCTACA